AAGTGCCTCAGACTCAACATGGAGGTCTACATCAAGTGCCTTGAGGAAGTAGTGTTGCTCTGGTTCAAGAGAGAAGCTGCTGGAAAATGCTACGTCTGGCAACAGAACTCGGTACCATGCCACACAAGCAGGAGAACCCAGTCATGACTATGAGACAATTTCTGTGACCACATTACCCCTTCTGGTCACATAAATCCCCTTGATTATTATGTGCAGGGCACAGTTGAGCCAGAGACCAACAAAACTCCTAGAAGAACCAAAGATGGACTGAAGGCAAGGATAATGGCAGCATTCACCAACTAAAACAAGGAGACTGTCCAGAAGAGTTGCAAGAGATTCCAAAGTCATTTGAAGACAGTGGTTGAAGCCAATGACGGTTTTATTGAATAAATTTACTCTTTAGTATTTCAAGATATTTTTGTGCAATTTTGGTAAATATATCTTAAAATAAGATGTCAGTGTTATTTCCATTTTTGCACAATTTAGATGACAATTTATCCATCACACCATGTGTATGTATGTATATATTATACACTATCCAAATTACTTGCGCCTTGCTGCATGCCACATATTTTTGTGTAAGAAAATGATGACTGATTTTAAATCATTATTATAATTTGTGGAGAAAAATGATGCATTTCAATGTTACTCAATGAGCTTGCCATTGTGACCTCCATCTTCTGGCTTTCTACTTCTATATTTTAGATAGGAGTCATTCTTTTGTTCAAACTTAAATCTAACTTTTTCAGTGGAGAGCGGTCGTGCCAAAACAGCTTGATCTGACCCCTTTGATATGTATTTGATGCAATACTTGATTGAATGAATTGATGAGCAGATTTCAACATTGATATGACAGTTCAATTGTCACAACAAATATGTATTGTAAGGCACCACCCACTGATTTATGATTTCTTGCTCAACTTGACATTCATATTGTCTCATTTTCATCTTTCCGATGTGACTGCCATCTTCTGGCTTTCTCCTTCTGTATTTTGGATAGTAGTTATTCTCATGTTCAAATTTAAATTTAATTTAAATCAAAGGGAAAAAAAAATTATCAGTGGGTGAGGATTGTATCCCTTTGATCAAAATGAAATATACTTATCCAAGTATCCTGGGTAATGTAGTTTCAGAATATATATGATTATGGGGGTCTATCTCCAAAACCCTAGGAGTAGTTTGATAACAAACAAACAAACAAACATACATACATACATACATACAGAGGCTACAACTTTATGTTTCATTAAAGATGACAGACAGGGTACTGCGATTGAGCTTTTTATTTAATTTTTCCTGTGTTCAAATGTGTGTTTTCTTTTCGGCTATACTTTTAACCATTATCAAAGATGATTTTATTTTTACTTTTTAACTGGATGTATGAGTTATGTGTATGTATCTAAAGTTAAGGGATGTTTTATTTTCCTAATACTGTGTTATATGCCCCAGACGACAAATGGGTTTATAAGGCGATCATACGCCGACTAGGAGATATATACATTCTCACACCTGTGGAGAGATACAAGCTATCTCTCCCAGATCGTGACGATGGACAATTGTTAAACAAAAATATTTTTAAGACCACTGTTCGATTGGGATAATTGAACAGTAATCTTTCCCAGGTCAGCTTCAGTTTCAACACGAATACTGATCCACAATACAAGGATGAACTATAAGGCTTAGCGATTTTTGATACAAGAATTTTAATATGTACAAATATACAAATATCAAAATAAAAGAACAGATAAGTATGAGTTAAAACATCCGACGACCAGATCTTAAAACTTACGTTGGGATATCAAAATTCGTCTAACACCAAATGGATTCAACTGAACCCGAACATACAAAAATATAAGTATGAATTACTATGAATTGAATGCAGAAGCCAACACATACACAAAAGAGATGGGATAGGAGTTACAATTATTGTTTTGACATGTGGAAAGGTGTTTGCAAGAACATAATATTCATGGATGTATGTATATCTTTCTACTATGGGTCCAAAATATGATTACTTATCTTTTATATTCAGTTCTTTTTTTTTATCATTGTCCTTTCCTTTCTTTTCTTAGACACAGACACAATTTCACACACTGTCCGGCTGTAACAAAGGTATACACTTTCTTCCTCTCTTTGTTTTTGCCTTTTTTCTTTCCTTCCTTTTTCTTCTGTAGACAGTTCAAAAACAAACCCGCTCACTGCAACAGGGATGTACACTTTCTTCCTCTCTTTGGTTTTCTTCTTTCTTTCCCTCTTCTTCTTTACACAATTCAGCTTATAACAGAAGTATACACTTTCTTCTCTGGTTTTCCCTTTTCTTTCTTTACACAATTCAACTTGTAACAGAGGTATATACTTTCTTCCTCTCTGGATATCCGTTTCCTTTTCTTTACACAATTCAACTTGTAACAGAGGTATACACTTTCTTCTCTGGTTTTCCTTTTTCTTTAAACGCAGGCTGAATCCTCAGCATATAAATTTCTCTGCATCTTCAATTTGGGGTTCTCGAACAGGAATACTTCTTGTTATATTTCTTGTCCGGAGTTGCCTGGGTTGAACTGGATAAGTTCCATCACTATCAAATGAGTCTTATCTTTCCGTTCATAAACTATCAGCACTTTGGCTTCAGGTCTTGCCTCTTCAAAGTCAAGATAGCAACCGATTCTCGAGTGAATCTCTGACTATCACGTGTCTTAAGTTTTGGTGCAAATTCCAGCTTACATCCATCCCCTGTCTAGCTTCTGTCTAGACATTTGTCGCTACGGGTAATTGGGTCAGTCAACCTTTTGACCTGCCTTCCCAAAATGTCATAAGACTCCCACGTGACCTTTATTCCATTGCTAGGCGGAAATTAACCTTAATATATGCATGTATGCGTGTTTAGGCTATCTGCTTTCGTCACATACTGTCAGCATATTGTGGCCATGTTCATAGTTAATATTATTGAGTGTTGGCCTTTTCTTTTTTTATTGGGTTGGTGCATAATTATCAGGCGTTTTTAAACAATATTTATTATGAAGAAAGAAATATAACAATTCAACAATAACATTTTTAATTGATTATTTCAGAGTGTATGATTATCGATACCCATTTTTATAACCTGAAAATAAAATAATATTTTTATTAAAAAAAAGTAAACAAAACAGCAATTTTTATTAACAAATAACTCGCCTACAAAAAGCCTGATAACTATGCACCAACCCAATATTATTAAGGCTTCCATTATTTTTAATCTTTTTTTACATGTGGATGAGGTTATTATGCTTGTATTTTCTACTAGTATGTTTCATATAGAGTCTGGTAAGTTTGTGTATGTGTTTAAATGAGTTCTGATGTAGCTGTGGTCAGATAGGTGTAACATAAGTCATCTGGATAGGCATGTAGTAGTGTGACCAATGTAATTATTTATGAGTACGATTTGATCAGGAACACAGATCCTTAAGTGCATTTGAACATGTAATTTTGATTTTGCAGGTGTGCTGTTATTTTTGAGGATACGGTTTAGCTGTTCAAAAATTTTTTGTAGTAGATAATTTTTTTGTTCAGGTCAACTGATGATATTTATAATATTAACTACAAACACGGACACAATATGCTGACTGTCTTCAGGAAATAAAACATCCCTATAACTCTAGATACATACACATAACCCATACATCCAGTTAAAAAGTAAAAATAAAATCATCCTTGATAATGGCTAAAAGTATAGCTGAAATCGCTTGGAATTACAGAACATTTAGACAGTTTCTACACACTGTGTGTCCAGAAAAGAAAACACTCATTCAAACACAAGAAAAATGAAATAAAATGCTTAATCACAGTACCTTGTCTGTTATCTTTAATGAAACCTGTATAAATGAGGCATTACTGCCTATATATACATATATATATGAAGAAAATATCTGGAAAAACAAAACAAAAATCCTTAAAATGCGATTATGTTGTTTTAATATAAATGAAATGTCGACGTCTGACGTTTCGGTTTAATAACCTTCTTCAGGACAATATTCATTAAAAATACAATTAACATAATCAGTATAACACTTTAAAAAACGATCGACATAAAAACAAGTCTTATCCAAAACAAATAAATGAAAATTTTAAATGATCAGCTTTCCGTTTGATAAAATTATACGTCAAATGGGCGACGCTTTCAAAACGTATTCTTAAAAATTTTTTATAAATTTGATTCTGATGGAAAGATTTTTCATATATACAGTTCATTAGAAAATCTTTTCTGTTCTTGCAGGAATTTTTTTCACTAGTAGATTCCTGTATCTTCGGATAAGCATGCAGTCCTCCATGTAATAAAATGAATTCAGGTTTGTATATATATATAATTTACTAATGTTCCCCCAATACAAGGTCCAAGAGCCAACTAAGGTAAAAGGTTACTGTGTGGAGTTGAAAGGGCAAGATAACAGAAAAGATAGACAGCTAATTCTAGACTTGAGGAGATTATTAAATTGTAATCTCCAATTTAATAGTTCAAGCAGAAACATTAGGAGTATAGAGTTGGAGCAAACTTTAGAAGGTACCAGAAACCCAATCCTAAACAGAAAACAAAAGATAAACATCTACTCCTATTCAAAAGATTGGAGAGGAGTGTGAACTGGATGATAAGCAAACCTATCTACTCCTATCAGTAGAGGAAAAAATAATTACTGAATAAAATTTCAGATTTCAGACAGAGATGTCAGAAGTACAGAATTGAGGGAACTGAAAACCCAATCCTAAACAGGAAAAAAGAGATGAACATCTTACTCCTGTTCAAAAGTCCAATTTTTTCAATTATTATTTTTATACATTTCTCTTTTACAGGGTCAGCCTAATCCTATACCAGTTTCATAAACATTGTGAAACAAGAACAGTTTGCCATTGTCATATCAAAGACAGTCACTCAGTATCAATAGTACAAAGAAGATAACTAGTTGAGTAAAATGTTACATACATTAAAATGATGAGAGCAAGAGAGAAAGATTATACTTACTCAACAAAACAATATAAAATATTATTGAGTTCCCAAGGAGGCTGCACTTTGATGATTTTTAACCTAGGGAGGAAAAAAAAAAATTTTTAATTAACAAATTTCTCGATTGAATAGGAATTTAAAAGATTGAATTATGCAATATTTTAATGTTGTTTCTTTTAAGTCTTTAAAATATTTGAGGAGACTCATATCCTTCATGTCTTACAATATTTTTTTTTGCATCTTTAAAATAATTGTGGAGATTTTTATATCCATTTCTAAGGAATTAATACATTTTATTTTTAATCCAACATTATTTCTTATTACTTTAAATGTTATATTTTAGTGAATACTTGTATTTGAGTAGAACCATTTTTTAAAATAAATAAAAACAACATGAATTATATCTACAGACCTGTGCATTTGAGAATCTTAAGAAAATTCACCCTCCAGCAGGGTTGGAACCCGTGTCCCCAACATGCTTTAGCCCACTCAGCCACAAACAGCTTCACAACCCAATAAGATTCAATTACCCTTTTAAACAATTCACATCTCATTCTGATTTTCTGGAAAGACCATAAGTACTAACTTAATTTTCTTTCATATCCAAAATGTAAATGTGGTAATAATAAGCATATCCCATCTCTCTCACTTTCTCATTACAAGAAATAAAATTTTTTCAGTATTTGTTATGATGTTGATTTGGGGTTAGTAGAGACAAACGCCAAATAACACGTAACAATAAAAAGGGTTTTAATAGGTTGGTAAAAAAGGTACAGAAATCGCCTGAGTAGTCAATAACTAGCTCAGCTAAGAACTTCTCTGTCTATCTGTCTTCCCCATGTCAAATGACATGCCACTATTTAAAGTCTTTGTTCACAGACGCAGACAAGTTCATCTTCAAGAGGGGTAGGTTTCCGACACAACAGTACTAAAGCTGAATTAGTCTAATAAAGTTTCTACTTGGTGTTGTTACTATATTACAGTGAAAAAAGTAGGTATGAATTGGATTTTATTTCTAATCCAACATTATTTCCTCTTAAAACATTAACATGTATCCACTAAAATATAATGTTTAAATAAGAACTAATACTATATCTAATATTTCCCTTTTTTATATTGTAATTGGAATTTGATTAACACTTTCAAGTGTGTATAAGTTCAGAATAGCGTAAAAACCACAGCAGTCTACCACCTGGTAGACAAAAAAAAAATGTAATTAAAAAAAGAAACAAATAACAAAAACCTTAATGCTCTTTGACACCAAACCAGTTAAATTAATACAAAAGTTCCCAATGACAGCTTTTGCATAATTTTAGGGAAATTTTAGAAATATCTTTTAGTTGACTCAGCTTTCTATTGTACATGCACTCACTCATGTCATTTACAAGCTTTAACATTTAGCACTCTGCATTATTAATATTACTTCCCTTTCTACTGCATTTTTTTTTCAAAGCCTCTCAATAGTAGTATCCTTATTGTTAATTTCACTCAAAGCTGTTTCCTGTTGTCACAGCAGGATATGACAACACAACTATGAAATTCAAACATTACTGTTCAGATATCAGTCACCTTCAGTGGAAGGACCAACTTTTTGTACAGAAAATGAAATCACATACAGAGTGATAAATGTTAAACAATTCAGAAGCAAATCAATTGGATTAAAAAAAATTTAAGTTGTCATTCTCTTCCTGCTCAATGCAGAAAAAAAATCCAAAATAAAGAAAATTATGGCTACATTAAGAGCAGCCTTCAATATCACAACCTTAAATGGAATCTACTCGGAGAAAAAAAAGTTCTTTGTGTTTAGTGAGATTCAAAGGGAATTCTTTATTTGAAATTTCTGTAATGTGAAGTATTAAATGTTATTTTGCAATACAACAGTGAGTAAATGGCTTCTTTGAATGACATATTGTAATAGAAAAGATCTTTCTTTCTGAACTAGGAAGTCAACTGGTGATTCTGCCTTTATATGACAACACCCATTCCTCTTCATGCTACAAATGCAACACAGTAAACAATCATGGAACTGAACTGGAGAGTTTTTTTCAAATACAGTATATTCTCTACATCTGAAACAAGCATTTGCACCAATCTATTATCCACACATACAAATATACATCTAAGTGTTTATTAAGATTAATAGAGTCTGTGGATGCACTCAAAGCAAAGTGGGATTGAGGTACTGAGATCAAATTCAAGCCAAGACTGTTGTGTTCACTCTTTGCACAAATACTTTTGGGAAAAGTATGAATCCATCATGTCTCCCTTCTCCCAAGTGAGAGAATAACAAGGCAAACTGGGCTCTAGCCTAGGTCAGAAATCAGTCTGGGAGAAGGACAACACTGAATCCAAAACAAGTTGGGCATGGGACTACCAACTCCACCCCATAAAAACTTACTTGCACTAGAAACTACAGCTGTAATGTCTAGTGTGGTGAGGTATTAACCCTATACTACACAGGAGGGTCTACAGGACTTACATCTTCATCAGCAGCAGTAAGTTCTGTGAAACTAACTTAACATGTTTAGAATATTGCTGCACATATGGTCCGGGGCCTCTGCTATTTACCTTGAGTTCCTTGATAAAATCCAAAGAAGAATCAGTAATATTATGTTCTGATCTGGCTTTAATCACTTTCTCACCACCATAAGGTTGCCTCTCTGTGCCATTTCTATAAATACTTTCATGGTAATTGTTTGGATAAGCTCTTCACTATGGTACCTAAAGTTTTTAAAATTAAGCACAGTACTAGACTTGCATCGAGATCTCATTGATCGTATGTTCTATGCTAACAAATTTCTTTTCTCGTACTTCTCACTTTTGGAACTCACTTTTGCTTCCATGCTTTTCAACCAACTTTAATCTTCAAAAATTTAAATGAAATGTCAATTGCTATCTACTGTCCTACTGATTACTCTTTTTCTCTTCCCATTCATTAGTAATGTTTCTGTTCCTAATTCTTCCATACCCAGTAACCCCTTGTGTCTTAGTGGCTTTACTGCCTTGCTTACGGTGAAATTGATTGAAAAAACAAAAAACTTGCTAATCACAATGAAACATTCTTTGTTTAGTAATCTTTTAGTTGAGTCTGACACAAGACAGTCCCAGGGATTCCAGTAAGGATTGAATGCACTAATAAATTTGTCTGCAGTACTAGTTCACTATCACCTGTAATAAGTTATCTTAGTCTGACAAATACTCAAATAAAGCACTTAGTGAATTAGTTTGCAAGAGAGATTTACTAAACAATACTCTCTTGCAGACACCCTACAAACAGATATGCAAATATGTACTTATTCATAAGACAGACATTTACATGAGAGGTTATAATTACCGAAAATCAAATTGTTAATAAAAGATAAAAAGATTTAAATCAGATACTTACCACATTTCATTAAATGCAGCTTTCATTTCAGTCTCTAAAATGAGACCAAGAACACCTTTTAAAATTTCCTTTAATTTTTTGGAAATTTGATTCACCTAAAAAAGATAAACAGATTATAAATTTAAAATCCATCTCTAAGAGGTCATATATCCAAGGACATGTCTCAATTGTTAAATATCACCTCTGTTCCATAATAGTTGTTGCATATGCATTTTTTTACACTAAATGTAACAATTATTATGGGACAGAAGTAGCTCTTTATTAAAATAAATTGTACGAGTCATGTAAAATCATTTAAGATTAATTCACAATAAAGAAAATTTAAAAAATGAATGGATTTGTTTTTTAATCGAGTTAGGAGATAACAAACAGTTTATGGTTTAGTTAAGCATCTTTCACAAAATATTCCATTAGCCATATTTGGTATCTCCATGAATTTTACTTTTTCTTTTCAGTTGTCCTATAACAGTCTCCTGTTCAGTCCAGTGTCCATTCATCATATTCATTATCATCATCAAACGCTATTCAAGATGTCAAGGCATTGAAAGAACAATCCTGATATGTTTTGTTATTTGTGGTTCATTTACCAAAGCTAAGCAATGTGTCATCACAATTGAAATCAAGATCTACAAGTTGTCTTTGGATGGCCTCTTTGGGATCCAAATAAGAATTGGGCACCACATATTTATCTGTTCAGCTTGTTCCAATGGACTAAGGGATTGGCTTAATAAAAGGAAAACAGCAATACCATTTGCAGTACCTATGATATGGAGAGAACCAAAGGATCATTTCAGATGTGACATTATCGGCTACAGGCAGATGGACTGACCTAGAAAACACTTATCTCAGGTTGAGATAACATTTAAATCTTGACTGGAGTGTTCCAGCCTGGATACACTTAAACCAACTGGTCAAGATAAAATTGTAATGGATATGGACAACGGATGTAGATTTCTAAGTGGATATTAAAACTATGCCAAAAGTAACCACTGTCTGGTGAGAGAGTCATTTCTGATGAAGCAATTTTGGGTAGTCAAGATTGATGAAAAACATCAAGTCTTAAGGTATAATCGTCCATCACTCCCAAGTTTTTTTAAGCCTGTACTTTTCTGATATTACCTTGTATAAATGATTTGTTAAAATTGAAAAGAGTTGTCATCTTCCTCATTATATAACTGCCAAAGGCGCCATTAGCTGTGGTATACTAACTCCTTCAGCAGATTTCTAGTTGTTTGAAATCTGTCACAATATGAGTATTCAACCGGACTTTTTGACAACTGTAGAAGTCACTGCAATCAACGGTTGATGGAAGAGATCCGATACTGATGGCCATTATCAGATATTCAATTAACCTTTTTAGCTCATCAGCTGACCAGATAGCGTTATACAAAGACTGTATTTCTGCATTGTTAATGTATCTGGGTTTACAGTTAAGACCAAGCACAAGATTCTGTATTCCAACTTAGAGTCAGCAAGAAGACCAGTACCACACAATGATGATGACCTTCCTGTTCCAGTACCACCAGAGAATGGCCTTCAAATGTCTGACGAAGAGGTACTTTGGGAGGAAACTACTAGTGATGCGGGAATAAACAAAGTGAAGACAGCTTTTGTTCTTGAAAATGAAAATGAACCACAGAAATTTTCTCAAAGAGAGTTAAACAATTTGGTTACAGACTTGGCATTGTCACAGAATAATGCTGAATTTTTAGCATTGTGTCTCAAAGAAAAGTTTCTGCTTAAGGACAATGTTTGAATTTATATTTGCATCTCATTTCATAAAGAGAAATAAGGCTCCGACTTCTTTCTGGATGGAACACTTTGTGATAACATTGATGAGTTATTTTACAGTTTGTGCCAAGAATATGTTCCATTTGAATTGCACTTATTCACCAATTCATCTAAGAGAAGTCTCAAGGCAGTACTACAACACAATGGCAATAAGAAACCATCCATTCATATAGGACATTCAGTGTCCATGAAGGAGTGTTATAAGAATATACAGGTACTCCTTGATGCCATAAAGTACTCAGAATACAACTGGAATATATGTGGAGACTTAAAGGTGATTTGAATGTTGATGGGTATGCAGTTGTGGGGAAAATTGTGAAAATGGCCTACCTCGGAAACGCCCGTGAATCTGTACGTTGTGCAAACTCTGACTGTTCAACAATAAAAAGAACCAAAATGGTGGAGCCCATGTGTTATGCCAAGCGGTCTCGGACAGTTAACGCGAAATCTCGTTGTTTTGTCATTCGCATGCAAATTATGGTCGGTCCTTGGCTGTATAAAGCAGGCGCGTTTTTATTTCTGGGCACACGGCAAGTGTACAACAAAATACAGCACTGGACGTGTTATTGAGGTGATTAGCCCGCAATCTGTGAGAGTTGATGGGGTGCCTCGTCACATTAAAGACTTGCGACCGGTGATGTAACCGCTACCGTTACTGAGCGATGAAAGCGATTCTGAGTCTGAGAGTAGTGAGCGTTCGATCTGCCTGGAGTTAGACCTGCAGGGCAGTGACTCCGATATCAGCAGCCTCCCAGCGGACACCGTGTTTACTGACACTCAAACCATAGATGAGAGCACGCATGAGGATGAAGCTTGTGTTGTTCCCCTTCAGAGAGGGACTCAACGGTGACGATCGCCACCTCCTTGCCCTGTTTATGATCATGAGATCGGGGGGGGGAGTGTGGGGAAAATTGGTCGGTCCTCGGCTGTATAAAGCAGGCAAGTTTTTGTTTCTGGGCACTGAGTTTTTTTGCTCGTGAGAAGGTTGGATGTGTGACACTATTTTGTCAGTTACCCTCCTCGCGTTTCCTATCTGCTATTATTGTTGCTTTACTACCACAGCAGTCAGGTTTCACAAAATATTGTTGCTTTTTATGCCTTCATCACAGTTGTGCAACTGCCAAGCACTACATGCAATCAGAATTGCCTCAGTGAGAATCATGATCCGGGAGTCTCTAACATCCAGAATAAGCCATTAGTAAAGCCAGAAAATGCTCTCCCCCTTCAACACTTCGTGCGGGCTCATGAAACAATGTGAAGATACTTGCCAGGAAGAACTCAAAAGGTTTTGAATATGTGAAAGCCAAGTTTGATTTCACTGTTCAGTGTTAATTACACTGATCAACGAAATTAAACTCAGAGTCTAATATAACACGGTAGGCAACAAAAAATGGTCTGCAGTAATTAGAAATGAAGGAAGTAGAAGAATTTGGGATAGTACTCCTCATCCAAAATAGTATAGGCATTGCTACATAATATAGCAATCTGCCATGGTATGAAATGTAAATTTGTCACATTTGGTCAAATATATACAATTTGAAGCTTCAAAAATGTATATTGCACCTGTTACAATTTAAAAAGAAAAATATAAGGATACTAATAAAAAAGTGAAAAAAAAAAAAAAAATGAATATAATCTTGAACATCTTGAATGTGTGTGTATATGGCGTCATGCTATATCATCAATTTAAAAAATTTGCTTTAGATAAAATAAATACGTCAACCAGAGTCGAAATAATAATCTTATAATTTCATGATTTTGTTGATGACTACCACCCAAGATCAGGGCGGACATGGGAACAAGGGCAACCTCCAATCTTCCAATCAGGGGCCTATTTACATACTGTGCACATAAATATTAAATCACAGTTCCTTCTTGTGGCATATTAACAAAGATGTATTACAAAGATACATTTAGAACAAAGAAAATACTAAGTTTTGATGCATAGCATACAGATGATAGGGTTTTTTTTGTGGGGAGGGTCATTTTTTTTTTCACTTTAGACTAGTATAAGAACAATTAAAATACTATAAAGCTATTACATTAATCAAACAGTCAAGAGAATACATCATTTAACACGTCCAGCCAAAGATTATTCCATTTTTATTTTTCTACTCACATATATCATTTGTGTGGAAAAAAAAATTATACTATTTACATTATTCAGACTGTTGTCCTCATCTTTGTTGTCATATTCACAATGTTTTGGTCATTGCATACTCTTCCCTTCTTCCGGTGATCGAAATTTCAAACCAAACCCTTTATTTTGTCCAACAAAAACTAGGAGAGTTGAATTACTAAAGGAAAATAACTGAAACTGAGACATCCAGAAGAGGCACGGTACATGGAACTAGAACAATCTAACTCAGTGAACGAAAGGGTTCAGTTCAACATTCCAATCATCTGAAGAAGGTCAGAGCATACAACAGCCGAAGCATTGTGAATATGACAACAAAGATGAGGACAACAGTTCAAATAGTGTAAATAGTTACAATACCTCATCTCAAAACTATAGACAGAAAACAAAACATATTCAGAGTTTCTACATGGTACAATTAAATTTTATTATGTAAAATATTTTTAAAAAAGAAAAGAAAGAAAAAGAAAGTTATCCAACTGACCAAATTAAGTTGTGGAGCAACATTTGTCGTCTGTGATATATCATTGTGATATACATCGATTTTTCTGGAACATATTGCCTCTTTAATAGACTCTTGAGAATAAGATACACATCTTTTTTGATCACCTGAAACATTAAAAAAAAATAACATACATAACCAATTAGTGATACTAAATAGAAATAATATTTTATCGCTTTAAACGTTATATTTTAGTGGATACTCAGATTTGAGTAGATGCTTCTTTATTTATTAAATCATAATTATTTATTATTGTTTATTGGTCTGAATATTTGAGAAATGCACTTTCTTTAACCTTTACCTTTATGTGACTTCATATGCTGTGAAAAAAAGCTTATCCTACCACTGAAGATGACTGATCCCTGAATTTGAATTTATTTCATTTTCATAGTTGTGTTGTCATATACTGCTATAGCAACAGAAAACACCTTTTAGTGAAATTAACAATAAGGTTACTGCAATTGAGAAGCCTTGAAAAAGAATACAGTGGAAAGAGAAGTAATGTTAATAATGCAGTGTGCTAAAGATTAATAAGATTTTTCGACAATATACCATTTAATAAATAGTCTACTCAAATATGAGCATCCACTAAAAATAATGCTTAAAGTGACAAAATCTGTCAGAATAATAAATAAAATATCCATTACTTCTTTAAAAAACAATATATAAATTTTACTGAATTTTCAAACCATATTTTGTTCTTGAAAATGACTAATGATGGCCAAAAGATTTTGAACATCTACATGAAAATTATCAGCAGGGATAAAAGATACTCACAATTATCAGCTGTAATTCCACTCAATTTTGAAAGGGCAGAACAAATTGCCTGCAAGCAAAAAAAAGTAAAAGTTAAGAGTTAGGGAAAAGAGTTTTAAACCTAAACAAACAGTAAACCAATTTTACATATTCCATGACTTTTTATTTTATTTTAGCCTTTTTTTGTCCGAGATGAAATTCTTAAATATTTTTTCTTCTCAAACCAATTTCCTCATCTTTTGTTGTTTCAACCACTGTACAAACACTAGACCTTTTTTCCATTTGAATTTCTGAAACATTGATTTTATATAATTACCTACTGATTCTTTTGGACAAGTTACTTTAGCGGCTTTATCATAGAATTTAGGAGGTTCCCAGCGTAATCAATGAATTCCTTGATTTTCCTGAAAAATTCCTTGATTCCATATATACTCATGTATAAGCCTACTTCATGTATAGTGTGACACCTGAGATTTGTGTGAAAAATGATTTTTTTTTTCATATAGCTCATGTATAATACAACCCCAGCTTCTGAGCAATAGTAGTAGACCTACCATAGTCAAATATTGCAGTACTGTGCATTATTTACTATATATTGCATTGTATCTTTTCAAAATATTTCAAGAATATATAACAGAGGATTACAAGATAAAATAATAACTGTTAAAAAAAAAAATGCACAAATACAAGTTGGTAGGTACTGTATATACTTGTGTATAAGCTGACTTCATGTATAGTGCAACCCCTAAATTTTTGTGAAAAATCTGATTTTTTCATACAGCTTGTGTATTATGCGACAGCAGCTTCAGCTATTGGGTCTACCGTAGTCAAATATTACAGTACTGGCCATTATTTACCATATATTGTAGTGTATCTTCTCAAAATAATTTAAGAATATGTAATAGAGAATTAGTATTACTTTTTAATTTCAGTTACCTTTTATTGTAACTTCTAAGACTTATTCTACAGCTACTAGTAAACAACACAAAATAGAAATGAAGAATTAAGTTTCACTTCTCAGGAAGCCTGTCTTAGCAAAAAAATAATAATTGACAATGCTTCATCTTATAATAAATTGAAGATTATATTAATACAATTATTATTGACAAACAAAACATGTCTATTGCAGGCAGAATTTTAAGTGATAATTTATTACAATAGTCAATACTACCAAGATTGAAGAATAAAAATAGTCAAAAGAAATGATGGTTGAATTAGTGTAAAGGAATAACTTACAGTTTTGTTAAAAGCAGAAATGCCATTAATTAAGGTCTTGTTGCAAAGGTTGACATCATTGCTGTAAAGAATAACTTTGCCATTTGGATCTGGAATTCAAAAACAAACCAACCAATTATGTGCTCTGTACTTTCTGTCAACCAGAAAAAGATACCTTTTCACAAAAGAAAATTATTTACAAAAATATGATCATTGATTGTTTCAGCTGTTAAGCAGGAGATAACTGATAACTGACATCCGTTAGACATGGCACATGGAACTAGAACAGTCTACCCCAGTGAGTGAAATAAAGAGTTCAGTTCGACATTCCAACCACCTGAAGAAGGCCGGAGTGTACAACAACTGAAACATTGTAATAAATATGGCAACAAAGATGAGGACAATAGTCCGAATAATGTAAATAGTGTACATAATACTTCATCTCAGAAATATAGACAGATACTTGTGGTTTATAGTAAGTTGCTAGCATGGGAGATTTTTGACAGGAGGCTAATGTCTGCTTTGTTAACTATCGACACAAATATTTTCTACTGAAACAATTCACATTATTATAATAATAACAAAAGTGTAATGTAATAAAAGTACTCTGATATAATATGTGGTATGATTGTACAACAACAATAAAACACATATTTGTCAAGAGAGAAATCGAAATCCATTGTCACACACTGTAAACAAAGCAACTGCTTACCTTGTAGGAGAAAAAGGTAAGTGTAGATTGTGATAGTTAATTGACTATATCTCACCTCCTTTTTGCAATGATGTTGAACAAAAATACAACTGGATGTGTCTCAACAAGCTGTTTAAAGATCACATTTAAAAACAGTGGAACGAGTAAATGGTTAGCAGGGAAATTCATTCAGGCTACCATAATAGCCTACAGAAAACACAGTACCCACTCATGAGATATTGTAGATTGTGGTAGTTGATTGACAATATTTCCCTACTGTTTTTTTCATTAGAATTTGAGTGAAAAGAAAGTATAAGCTTACTTAATTTATTTAATAAATTCAGTACAATACATTTTAAAATACAGTTTGGGTGATCTGTCTATATTTCTGAGATGAGGTACTATGTACACCATTTGCATTATTTGTTGCCATATTTATCACATTTCAGCCATTGTACATAATTCCGGCCTTCTTCAAGTGGTTGAAATGTCAAACTGAACCCTTTATTTTGTTCACTGGGGTAGACATGTCAAATGGATGTCAGTTATCAGTTATCTCCCATCAATTCACCTCTCCAAGTTCTCCACTGCCTTAACCAAGTATTGAACTCACAACTCTTTGGGTACTGTCACTGGATCTAACGAACGCCTTTATCCACTGTGCCATGTGTCCTTAAGGAAATCTGTGTATGAATTTCTGGGACTTAATGTCTTCAGCAACCAATTTCTGGGACTTAATGTCTTCAGCAACCAATCTTACCAGTGCCTGGTAAAGAGGGAGGTCTTACTCAGGAGAGATATCTGCAAAGTGTTGTCCACCTTTTGAAGGTTGTCCTGGTGTTAGATGGACCACAGATCCTTTGTATTTTCTCCGATAACCCCTTCACATAAGTCAAGCAGACTGTTTTCTGAGTGTTGTTGTCCTCTTCTTATACCTGCCTATCACAGTTTATTGGGGCTGCTGCCATGTACCCAGGGTAGTTGTTACATTGCAGGGTACTGCTTAAACTGACCAATTCTTTATCTAATGTCTCTGGGTTGCCACTTATGACATGGAATTAAAACAGTCTCCCCCAGCAAGCGAAAAGGATTCAGTTCGACATTTCAACCACCTGAAGAAGGCCAAAATGTTGTGATAAATATGATAACAAAGATGAAGACAATAGTCCGAATAATGTAAATAGTGTACAATTTGGGGAAGTAATCTTGTACAGCAAATACAGCCGGAAACCTACATTTTAACTAGAAAATTTGTGTCTCATAAGCCCAATCACCTTGTATGCCAGCATATACAGTATATACAGAAAAATATATCCTCACTTTAGTTAAGCATATCTTCATGGACAAACTATTTTATAACCAGCAGTCACAACAGCAAGCTTGGTTTTTGGGGAGTTTTTTCCACACCCACCATCAAAAAATAAGATGCTGTCTTTGCCTGTAGCAGATTGCAAAACTGTGACTTAAGAATTTCAATTATTGTGCATTTTTTTAGGCTGACATCCTTAAAAGGGGTTCAGGCTGCTAGGGGATAGGTGTATCAGAGAGTCATTTATGGTTGAAGAACTATTTTTTTTTATAAAAAAAAAAACTGTGTCAAAAGGATAGTCTTTCTCTTGACACTTATTACTGTACAATCCCTTGGCAATTTTTATTGTCTTAAAAAGTTATTTTAATATAACCCAAACAAAGGAAACTGGATTTATGCATTCTCTCATTTTTGGGAGAGTTGTCAACAAAAGAATTAAAGAATTTTATATTTACAAGTTTATAAAAATATGTGAATCAACTACAATATTATTTACATCTTATAAAGAAATAACTATGAAAACAATTTTTTTTTACTCATTTGGAAGGTGAAATAAAAGAATCATTATGATAGATCTGTAATTTGAAAGAATTAATGGATTTATTTTTAATCCTACATTTTTATTACTTCAAACATTATTTTTAGTGGATACCTATATTTAAAATAGACACTCAGTTTTTTGGGTTTTTTATTATTTTAAAGAGTGTGTATCATATCTATCGGATATGCCCTCAAGAAATCTTAATAAAAAAATGTGTTGTCCAGCAAGGGTCAATTAAAAGGGAAAATAAAACCTTGCTGGGATGTTCACTGTCTGTAGCCAAGCAGACTAAGATGTGGTTTCTCCTACAACAGGGGATGAAGGTTTGAACCATGCCAGAGAGCACATTTTCTTTTATTAAGATTTCTCAAGTGCACAAACTGATAGGCGTAATGCACAGTTTAAAATAAAAAATGAGGTGTCTATTTCAAATATGGGTATCCAACTAAAAATAACACTGTGTAAAGATGCTGTTTCCAAATATATATATATTGATTATAACTATTAATGCTTTAAAAAAATTATTTGGAAGGTGAAATAAAAGAATCAATATGAAGACTTGCATTTGCTTTCCAACTGCATGCAACACTGAAGAATTTTGTCATCATTATTCTCAGCAACCAGATACTCATTCTGTTGCATGGCCTGCAATGAAAAATAAAAATGGTTACTCAGAAATCATATGCAATTTGACATTACAAAACATTGCCGTTTTCACCTCTGGAATAATCATATTTCAATTGATTACCCACCTACCCCAACACCAACAGTATAATATTAAATATCTGGATAGACAAAAACATAAAACAGACTCTACAGGCCAGGCTTTCTTAATTGCAGAGTTTAAGATATATCTGTAATTTCTAAAGAATTAATGGATTTATTTTTAATCTGACATTTTTATTATTTCAGACATTATTTTTAGTGGATTCTCGTATTTGAAATAGATGCCCCATTTATTTATTTATTTTAAATTTTAAACAGTATGTATCACATCTATCAGATACACACTTGATAAATCTTAATAAAAAATGTGCTCTCCAGTAGGGTTTGATTAAAAAGGAATACTGAACCTTGCTGGACTCAAAATGTTAAAATATTTTTTACCTCATAACATTTTATTTTCAAACCAAAACTGGCCATAGAAATGTATATGTTCACAAAAATAAATTCAACAGTCTTAAGTTGTTTGAACTTCTTAGATGAAACAATGCCATTAATAATTTTTTAACAGTTTATCTTTTCATATCTTTGTTGCCTCCCCCACCATTTCCCCATTTTAAATTGAAACACAAATGAAGACTTGAACCTAATGTTCTTGCCCTCCATTTTGTAAATCTCGACTCCTCCCACCACCACCTCTCTTTCACTTGTATTTAAGATGTAGTGATGGAAAGCTAACCTTGACAATTTTTTTTTTAAGTTTTGTAGTGACACTGGCAAATTAATATGCCTAATTTGCATAAGTGCAAGAGAAAGCCTATATAACTCATCACTGAGTATAACGTGGGACGAAGACAAGCTTAGTGATTGACTAGTGCTAAACTTTGACTTCACATCAATGGCGTCGCCGATAGGATCCCATTTGTCTCTAGAAGATTCAGATTTCATGGATGCATGGATTCGCTGTTTTTCTGCCAGTGCAAGAAGTAAAAAGCTGAAAGACAACAAGGAGAAGGGAGGCAAAAATGAAAATATGGATTTATTTTTGGCTACAGCTGGATGCAAGGCGATAATGAAAGTCTCCACCATGGCATATCCCACAAACTTGGAAGACCTGACTTTCGAAAAAATAAGTCAGATTATAAAGAGAAATATGAGACCCAAGAAAAGGCTGGTTGTGGCAGAAAGAACAAAGTTCATGTCGATGAAACAAGAAATTGATGAACCAATAATAAAATATCTACACCGTCTACGAAATGCGAGTAGATATTGCGAATTTGAAAAACTTGGACAAGACGAACAGACTATTGAAGAGGACTTGATTCAATTAAGGTTAATTGAAGGTATGTGCAATGCATCACACCAATATAAAATAATGGAACAACTACAAATAGGAAATATGTTTTTAAATACATGCATTGACTTTATACAGCAACAAGAATTAATACAGAAATACAACCATCATAAAAGTCAATCCAGCGAACAAATATTCGCTGATACGTACATGTTAAAAAAGATAAGAAAATGTTCGTATTGTGGATGTGATAAGAAATAAAAAGGGAAAAATGCCCAGCATTTGGAAAAACCTGTACAAATTGCTTAAAAAAAAAAAAAAAAAAAAAAAAAACACTTTCAAGCAGTATGCAACTTCAAAAAGAAAAACGTTGAAAGAGTTGAAGAAAACGAAACCAATATGGAAGTCTTCACATTAAAAAATAAGAACATAGAAAAAATTGAACAAAAGAAAAAAGACATTATACTAAAGGTTAAAATCAACAACTGCAATTTAGATATGCAAATTGAAACTGGGAGTGAAGTAACGCTGATACCAAAAAATTTGGGGGAACGCACTGGAAAGCCACCTTTACGAAAGAGCAGTTTACAACTCCGCCAATTTGATGGGCCG